TTTACCACCATGGAGAAATAAAAGGACTTAAAGAAAAAAATTGACACTCCTGGACCCGTTTAAATCCGCATGTGTACGGTAAGTTGGCCCGTTCCACAGAGGAAAAAGAAAAAAATTGACACTCCCTATTCTACTCTTCCTACAAACGCTCCTGGAGCAGGGAATTTTAAATGGGGAAAGAGTTTTTTCCTCTCTGCAATTATATGTTTTTAATTTAAAAAGATACAACAAATGTACTTAGTGTGATTGGTTATGATCTTTGTTTTTCTTTAAAATGGTCATGGTTCGAATCCTAGTAAGTGTCTTTTTAATGAATAAAAAAAAGTAATTGTGAAGACCAAAATGTCCTTCCTACTTTCACTCTGGATGCAGGAAATTTGAAATGGGGCTTCAAGTTTTCTCATTTGCCTTTTATTTATTGTGTACTAGTAGTCTGCAAAGCCATGTTCATGGACGATTGGTCCGTGTACGAGCTTGAAAGACCTAGACCCCCAAGGTTTTTCCCTGAGACTACATATAATCTTAGCTCGAAACTCGAGATAGAGACTTTAGTGATTGATAAGCTGCAAGAGGTCAACTCTTGCGGGGTTCACCAACAAAAACCCTTACGACCACCTCAGTAGGTTCCAATACATATTTGGATTTGAGCTTCAGTTTAAAAGGAAGTCTAACTATGTGAACATAAACCTCTTCATCTATTCCAAAAAGAAAAGACAAGAAACTACTACGATGGCCATCCTTTTTAATTCTTTTGTACATGGAAATGTTAGCTCAAGCTTTCACTAATAAGCTACTTCGACCTTGGGAATGCTATAAATTGTTCTCACGAATCATAAACTTTAAGAAGGGTGAGTTGGAATCCTTATATGAGGCATGACATCGCTACCAATGACATATCAAGGAATCTCTCGACCATGGAGTTTACCCCCCACCAGCTCGCACACATGTTTGCGGATGGATTGAAAACATATTTCAAAATAACTCTCACATTTTTTATCTGTGTGTAAAATTTGGGAAACTCCTCAAACTCAAACTCTAGAGAAATTTGCATATGTCACAGAGTTTACTCACATAAGGGGAACATGCAGGCCCAGTATCACAAGCTCTTGTCACATGATTCGTAGAGAAGCTGAGACTACGATGTTGCAGTCAGAAAAAATGGATCACTTAATCCAAGACACTGAATGACATATGTCATAATTGGGTGGCTCTGATACCACTTGTCACAAACTGGGCTGCTCAATTAGTACGATATTGTCCGCTTTGGGTCAAGCCCGCACGGTTTTACTCTTGGGTTTCCTCCCGAAAATGCCTCGTACTAATTGGGCTAGGTGGACACTTATATACAAGGGTTTTAGACCAAGCCCGCACGATTTTACTCTTGGGTGTCCTCCCCAAAATGCCTCGTACTAATGAGCTTGGTGGACACTAATATACAAGGGTCCTTCCCTTGTATTGCCGATGTGGTACTTGGATTGTCCCACAACAACATATAAGTTAGACACAACCAGGTTGGTTGTGTGGTGAGTCCTCAGAGCCCAATCCTTGGTCAGGGTCATTAGAAACACACGCCAAGATTGTCATATGGTTGGTGGCCTTGCCTGCGCAACTACCACTAGTTGAGACAATCAATTTCCTCATTGATGACTTGATCATGGAAAAAAATGAGGAAAAGGAACTAAGTCCAGCTCATCCCTGCACCATTTCTCTAAGGGGACCTCACTTGATAACACTCAAACTATAGCACTCATCACTCCCATATTTGATACATTTTCCCCTTCTATCAATGTATCTTTAAGAGTTTTTAATTTTTACTTGAATTCATAAAAAATTCGTAAAATTTTATCAATAACTATTATTAGACCTAGGTTGTATTTTTGTATCTTTTTATGACTTCTTGGTATGTTTCTGCACTTTTCAAGGTAAAACATAACCTAGGGTACTTTGGGCCAACACTTGGACAATTATGGAGGATCAATAGGAGCATATTTGAGAAGAGATTAAAGGGTTTTAACCTATTAGACGAATCCTAAAGGATGGAAACTTTTCCAGAAGTCGTAACTAGAGCCGAGAGGATCCCAATAGAGAAAACTCAGCCCAAACCGGAGAAGAAATCGACAGCGGCCTACAGACAGGTTCAACTGCTGCAAGTCGAAAGCACTCGACTCAAACCTAAAATGCCAGGTGAGGTAGCTTGTCCCACAAGTAATCCAATCCAAGAAGGAGTAGGATGACACCAATACCCTCTGATAGGCCGGCACTCGGTGTCTAAAGCCCAAGAAGCTTCTTAAAGGTCTTACTTTGACCCCAAATCAAGGATTTCGAGTCCCACTTGTACAAGGAAGTTTTTAACATAATTTTAGGAGAGAAATCCTTAGAATGCCACCTAAAGGACACACAACTTGGAGGTGAATTATCGAGTAGCAAATTGAAGATATGTAGTGTCGGTGGAAATAATAATATGTTACACTATCCCGCACAAACCATGGTTCAGGTTAAATAATACATGTGCATGTATAGGGCTGGAAGACCTTTTCTCACATATTATTTGAAAAAATAAACGCAAAAAATAATTATTTTATGATAAACCAAAGGAAAACACTTCATGAATAAAAAATAGTGGTAATATAATGTGTAATTGAGTCTAAATAACTTAAAGATCAAATCTTGCACTCATTTAAAGTTTCATTGTGTGAAACTATTACTAGAATAGGAGAAATGCAAATAGATATTGAGGAAAATTGAGATAGAATGGGTCAATGTTGGGGGCAGGTCGGAAGTAGTACACCATCCACTGCCCAACACTACAACAGGTTGGGTAATACTAGCCCCAATATGGGTTAAGTCGGATAATACACAGTGAAGCGGGTTCAAATTGTCACCTCTAGTGACTTGGAGTAGTTGTTAGGAGAATGGGCTCAATAATACAAACCCAATTTTTATCTTATCAAAACCCATGTGTAAAATTTGGTTTAGAAAGAAAAAGCAAGAGTGACAGATGTATTGAATACTACTTATGCTTCTTTGTTTTTCTTCTTTTGGCCAACCTGGTGTACTTCATAGCACTTCTAGTGATTCTGGTGTAGATTATGGATCTAAAAAGTGCGCCTAGGCGCAAGTCAGAAAGAAAACGCCTTGTTTTGGCAAAAAGCAGCGGAGAAGGAGTCACAATCACATTGTGGCCTCGGTGGCACCTAGTCAGCATTGAGTTGCGCCTCAAAATGATGTCATGATTTATTTTTTCTACCTTTTGATATGTTACTAGGGAGGACGGTCTTGATTTCTCTATAGTTAGGCTAAAATATAGTTAGAGACGACAATCTTTAGAGGGTTTTTTTGCTCTCAATCTGCTTCGCTATTTTCCATCTTCTTCTTCCTTACTCATTTCTACACACTATGTTTAATGTTTTACCATGTGTTGTTGATGAAAGTTTCAAAATAAGAGGTAGATGCGATGATATTGTTTCGTAAACTTGTGATTCTAGACAAGTGTGAGATATTTTGCTACGTTTACATCTAACGCTTAGGCACGCTTAGGTGATGCCTAAGCATGCTAGCCCCAAGGCAGAGCCTCAATGCTCGCCTTCTGCCTAACGCTTTCTTGAACCTTTGTGGATCCTAATATTTTTGGTTTGCTTGATGAGTGTTGTCGTGTGAGCTTTTGTGATTCTGGTTTGGTCTACTTTTTTTGGTTTGTTTAAGGAATTTGTGGTATGCTTTATTAGATTTGTGGTATGCTTTATTAGATTTGTGGTATGCTTCGGGGAATTTGTGGTATGTATTTTGAGGTTTCCGATATGCTTTAGGAAATTTGTGGTATGTTGTATGAGGTTTATGGCAAGGAACTTGTGGCCTGCTTTATGAGGTTTCTTATTTGTTTCAAGGAACTTGTGGTATGCTTTATGAGATTTTTCATATGCTTCAGGGAACTTGTTAACTGCTTTAAGTTTTCTGATATGCTTTATGAATTTTGTGATGTGGTGAGGTTTTAGTATGCTTTATGAGCTTATGGTCTACTTTATGTTATTTGTGATGTGGTTTGTTGTATTTACGATTTGTGGTTTGTGTTCTGCTTCAAAATACTTGTGGTGAGGCACAAGACGCATAATAAATAGAGCAACGTTATACGCGTGTGCCCCCATAATTTAGAAAATAAAAAGCGTATCCCTCACTTTAAAAATCAACATGAATTATGACCAAAATCTATCAAACCTCATTTTAACAAGGCAAAATACATGTGTATAGCTATAATTATCAAAATTTTGACAATAATAGTTATTTTTTCATAAATACACAAAATATTAAATTCCGTCCAAAACTTTACATGCTTACTCGACTTATGTTTTTGCTGACTTGACGACACTTAATAAAAAAATATCGTTAGGTGAAATTAACTAAATTCACTTGCATAACCATAACTATCGACTTTATGACAATGATAGTAAAATTTTTATTACACAAATATAACGTCATTAAAGATTCTGTAACAAGTTGCTGACGAGGATGTCACCTTGACGCACACGTAAGAGACAACTTGACATGTCATGCCACGTTGAGGCGGATTGGAGGTGGATGACCCTTCCGTTTGTTTTATATATCTTATATTTTCTAATTATTCCTATGCGAGTGTTTAGTTAATTCCACCTGACAATGTTTTTTTTATAAGTGTCGTCAATTCAACAAAAACGTTAGTCCAATCAGCATCTAAAATGACTCCGTTAAAGTTTTGGACAAAATTGGACGATTTGTGTATTACTGAGAAATTGGCTATTATTGTCACAAAGTCAATAGTTATGGCTATACATGTGTATTATGCCACTAAAGTATGATTTGGTGTCCATATGGCGTCAATGTGGCATCCTCGTCAGTGTCTTGTTAATGTAATTAAGACAATCTCAACGATGTTATAGATTTACCAGAATCAAATTTGTCAAATATGTTTCTAAAATCTTGATATTTTGTATATTTTCCAGAAATTAGCTATTACTTTCACAGTCTCACTAAATCTATAGTTATAATATGTAAGTGAATTTTGCCTTTTTAAGTTTAACAAATCATAATTGATTAATGTCCATAGTTTTGTCAAACGACACGCCTAACTGACGTCGTGTTTGACCTTTCATCGAGCAAAATTTTCGAGACTCGACTCTGGAATCTCGATCAACTCAGCACTCCCCGTTCCCGAACACACAAAACGACTCTGAGTTAGACTCGCTCTCTCAAACAATTCCCTCTGTTCCGATTCTCCTCAACATTTCCTCCGACAACGAATCGGCCATGGCCGGCCAGCGCAACGACTACGGCAAGAGATCGCATTCCCAGTCCGACTACGGCGGCGGCAAGCGCCACAACCCGGCGGGCGACGAGACCGGCGAACTCCAGCACGGGATTGGCAGCGACGACACCGTCTACCGCTACTTGTGCCCTCTCCGAAAGATTGGGAGCATTATCGGCCGTGGCGGGGAGATCGCCAAGCAGCTGAGGGCGGAGAGCAGGTCAAGCATTCGAATCAGCGAATCGATTCCAGGGTTTGACGAGCGCATTGTCACGATTTACAGCTCCAGCGAGGCGACCAATCCGTTTGGGGAGGACGAGGAACTGGTCTGCCCAGCTCAGCACGCTCTCTTTCTCGTTCACGATAGGGTTGTGGCGGAGGAGCTGGGAGGCGACGGCGGCCGTGGCGGCGGTCGTGGTGGCGGGGCTAGTGATGAGGAAGTGGAAGAAGAGGACGAGCTTGGGGAAGTTCAGCAGAAGCAAGTTACTTTAAGAATGCTTGTTCCTTCAGATCAGATTGGGTGTGTTATTGGGAAGGGCGGGCAGGTGATTCAGAGCATTCGGAGTGAGACCGGTGCTCAGATTCGGATTCTGAAAGATGAACACCTTCCCCCTTTTGCCTTGACTAACGACGAGCTTCTCCAGGTAAGCTCTCCTCCCTTTTTGCGCCTATATGCTTCTAATTTGAAAATTTTCGTCTCCATTAACTTGCAATTTACTTACTTACTTACTAGACGAGTAAACCCTCTTTCCAATTATGGAAACCCTTTGTGATTCAGCGTGGTTAATTTGCTTCTTCCCTTTTCTGCCATTTGATGTGGTGTTTTAGATTGTAGGAGAACCTGCAGTTGTGAAGAAGGCTCTTCTTCAAGTAGCGACTCGCCTTCATGAGAATCCCTCTCGCTTCCAGCACTTGCTTTTGTCTACTTCCAACAACCCGTATCAGTCTGGTGGCATGTTCGCAGCACCAAATGCTGGTGTCCCAGCAATGGGTGCTTATGGAAGCTACAAAGGTGGCTGGCCATCCTCGTACCCTGATTCAAGAGACGATGGTGGGTCTGCCAGGGATTTTGCTGTTCGCCTGCTCTGTCCAATTGGAAATATAGGAAGTGTGATTGGTAAAGGAGGTGCTATAATCAAACAAATTCGTCAGGAAACTAGGGCTTCCATCAAAGTTGATAGCTCCGCTGCTGAAGGAGATGATTGCGTTATCTTTGTATCAGCAAAAGAGGTGGGCTATCTATTTGTATCTTTCTGATATGTATGGGAAAAGGGAAAGAAAAAATGTGGGGGATTGTTGTAGGGAACCGAGGCTGCATGGTTAAGAAAGCCTGTAGTGGTTCATTATTGACCAACTGAGCATGTGTGTTCTGTAGGTTTTGGATGATCAATCTCCGACTATCAATGCAGCACTGAAATTGCAGCCTCGATGCAGTGAGAGAACTGAAAGGGACTCTGGAGATTCTGTACTCACCACCCGTTTACTTGTACCAAGATCACAGGTTGGATGCCTTATGGGTAAAGGTGGTTCCATTATTTCTGAGATGAGGAGTGTAACTAGGGCAAGTATAAGGATTCTTTCTGAGGATAATCTTCCCAAGATTGCCACTGAAGAGGATGAAATGGTGCAGGTGAATGATTTAGAGCTATATATGTTGTGCTTCCATTTCCTTATGTGCCTGTGCAATTTCTTACAACATTCTTTCATTGTTTCTTTCGATGCTGTTCAGATCACTGGAAACCATGATGTTGCCAGTAATGCCCTTTTACAAGTAATGCTAAGGTTGAAAGCGAATGTATTTGGAAGAGACGGTGCCCTATCTTCATTTCCTCCGGCACTTCCATATGTCCCAATGCCTTTGGACATGTCAGATGGCCTGAAACATGGAGGGCGAGATAGTCAAACTCGTGTACATGGTGGTTACCCATCATCTTCTGGGACATATGGTGATGGTTATGCCAATCCCTTGGTGAGCTTATCTTTGTTTTATCAGGGAGAATATCTGCTATGTGGCTATTCCTTTTTTTTGGTATGATTCTATGTGGCTATTCTTAATCTTCTTTGTACCTGTCACGCGTTTCAGGGTGGTGAAAGTGGTGGTTATGGCGCATATGGCAGCTTGTCTTCTGGTCGATCCAATAGTGCTGGGTATGTCTTCATGCTGTTGAACCTTGTGAAACTAATTACAACATTCTTAGTTGTGCGTTTGTTCCATGCTCCTTAATCCTTATCAGTTGATTGATTATTCACATATGGTAATTGTCAACACCAAGAAGGCCTTTCAGTACTGACATTTATATCCTTTCATAGGTTGGCGGGTCAAAGCCCCATGTCGCAAAGAAAGCATCATGGATATTAATCTCCATTATTGGGCAGCAGGTATTTGGGTTTTGATATTTTCCTTAGTTTTGGTAGTGATTCAAAAGCATGCGATTAGTTTCTTTGTTCTTATTTAAAGGACGTATCACCACAATGATCACGTCTTTTCCAACCTTCCTAGTTCTAGAACTCTAATACACCTTTCTGCCTGTGTTGCCTTTCCCTCTGCTATCTAAACAGCACCGATCTACAAATCCCGAAGCCTGCCCCTATGCCCATTTGATGAAGCCTTCAGCCTAGAACAGAAAATGCTCACAGATGACCCACGTTTGAGAAAAATTGTACTTCACCTTGGTCCACCCACTCGATGCTTTCTTTGGACCTGTGATCTGATGATGCAACTGATCATTCAATTCCTGGACCTTGACACGATAATTTAAGTTTTTAAGCTGCTTGCTCCAGGCATTCTCTATGCCTATATGGCATGCTTTTTATGTAACAGCAATAATAGTTAGTGTATCAGTATAATGTTTGCAAACTAGTCCTCTTCCTTTAGAGATACTCATATAGCAACTGGTTGTTGTAGTTTTTAATCAGCATAATGGTTGAGATATTGGTTATATAACCATTCTATCCTTCCATGCTGTATCATCATGTCATTGTAGGCTTGCTTCATTTGTTTTATTTCTTATAACATCTGCTTCTACTCTCTGTATGATTCAAACTTCCGAACTGGAGCTATCCTTTGTTTAATATCTTTTTCACTATGCTTTGCTGCAGTTTTCCTTAGTGATGTCAGAATGAATTATTTGACACCATGACAAGTAGTTTGTGAGTTTGAAAGCACATATCTTGGTATGGTATGTGTTCAGGTTTGTTGTGGGAATATAGCAATGGGCACGATTTACCTGCGAGGTAATGGTGCATATTGGGGGTGATCTCCTTCAAGATGTCAGTTCAATGAAGGTAAATGGTAGGCTAGGAGCCGTTTTTTCCCTTCTTCTATAGATTGCTTCATGTTCCATAGGCCTTGGTTGTGCAATATACATTGCTTTATGAAGTTTTAAGCTGATGCAGAGTTGACGTTTGTTTGATTTTCTGTGGATGCCAAGAAGGGGTATGTATTTCTGCTGTCCTTTTCTAATATTGGCCACCTTAATTAATAACATACACACTAAAGGGGTATTATGTATTTTTTTTCCTTCTGCTGGAGACTACTGAAATAGGATTGTTCATGGGTATAGTCCTCGGGCTGCATTTAGTAGCATGAAGATTGTAACCATCAATGAGAAGTAGGTCATGTAACCGTTGTTGCAGGTGGAAACCGAATACCGGATTTTGCTTTGATGAGTGGCCAACAGCCAGTAGACGGCAAGGGATCTTTACTTGGACAAGAAAGCACAAGGGAAAAGAAATGCTCTGGTTTCTGGCTGTTTTAGTCAAGAGACTTGACATCCTTGCCTGAAGGAAAGGTGGAGCCTGGAGGAGGTTTTGTTCATTTGAAGCTTTTTCACTTGAACTAGAGCAGGGTGTAGAAACTCGAACGTGCTGCTAATAGTTTCATGTAATCTGATTTCCTGTATAGATGTAGGTTGGTCAGTAAGTAGCCAGTAGTAGTCACTTGGTCCATTACCCCCATTTAATTGGTACATTCTTATTGCTTGGTCATGCTTTTTTGGGTAACTTGATCCCGATAATAAATTCGATTTTCGTATAACCAGATAGTCTCTTTGAATGGCAAGACTTGTGCAGATCAGTATTCTTAATAGCAGAGACAAGAAAGAGGAGATCAACATACAAAACAAAACCTGGACTTCTCTCGGTTCGATTCAATCTTCCTCAAGCAGTTCTGAAGACTCGGTATCAAGAACATCTCAGTAACAGAAAACAGATGCAGCAAAACAAGAAAAACATCTCAACGCCTGGTTATTCAGAAAATCCACCCTTCCTTGTCTAGTTCATGTTCAGCCCCGAAACCCACAGAGCACATTGAACAACAGCAAAAATCAACCTCGGATGAATGAGGGGAGAAACCCTATTGAACTTGGGATTGCTCCATATGCTCCTCTGCAGCAGCAGCTGATTCGTCTGATCGACCAGGTTCATCGTCTGTGGGGGAAGTCCCATCCTCAGCTGCCATTCCACCTGCCATTTCCAGTATCAAAACACGAAGCTCTTCGTCATTTATGCATCATAATCCGAAAACCTCTCGAGAGAGAGCGCGCAATAGCGTCGATCAATGGTAGCACATCTATTTACCTTCACCAGGAGCATAAGCCGATCGCCTGGCTCTTGAATGCTGCTGTCGATTTGGCTGCAAACAAAACACAGCAGAAGAGCAACCCAAAATGTTGATATTTTTTGACATAAAGAACACCCAAGGGAAGGAAATCCCAAAAGTGAGAAGAGAAGAGAAGAGAAGAGAAGAGAAGAGGTATATTTACCTGCAACTTGGGGCGGAGAGCTTCGAGAGGTCCTTTAGGCTTTTGTGCTCCTTGCTGCTCATGTAACATTCAAATGATTACTAACTATGATAGATATGAGAAAGAAGCAAGCTTTTTCAATGGATAAGGAAGCGAGAAATTGAGAGAAACCTTTCCCAGTGCCCAATCCGCAGAGTCAAAAAAAGCACGCTCATGATCCTAAACCAAACAAACACTGAATCAATCACACTGACCAGAAGGAGAAATCTCAGTCACAGTTTAAAGAACTTATCTCCCTTCTTTTCTCCATTTCCACTAACCTTGGATATCAATGGCTTCTTCTTGGGCAGAATCCCTCCATACTTGCTCCGAATTATTTGCTCCTGCACAAAAACGAAAATAAAAAACCCAAATCCGGGGAAAGCTCCGTTTCTCCAAAGCAAATGATGAACTAGCTAGTACTCACCTCCTGCTCCGGCGAGGGAGAAGGGTTGTTGTCGGCGTTTCCATCGGAGACTTTGGGATCTCCGCTCTCGTTGTTCCCAGCGTGTTGATCGAGTTGACCACCCTCTTGCTCCATCATTTCCTTGTCTGCATTTCCACTCGCCATCTCCGATTCAGAAAAGCCTGAGCGAGCTCCCAGCCGAAACCGGGGCCGAGAAAAGAATCAAAGGACGCGGTGTGAGCTGGAATCCAAAGAAATCGGAGGTTGCTAAATTGATTTCCCGGGAAATGATCTTAATTGCAGAAGAACAAGAATTTCAACGTCTTGTTTCCCTTTTGGGGGGATTCTGATTGATTGATTACCTGAGGATTCTGGAGGATTAAGGGAGTCGCCGGCGATGATACACTATTAGATATGGGAAGTGGGAAGAGGGAAGAGGGAGGTCCGATCTTTGTATTTTTTTTTATGGTGGCCTGAGATTCACGCAGAAATCGAGAGAAGGAAAGGAAAAAAAACAGAGGCAGAAGACACATGACATGACAGACAGACTGCCACCCATTCATGGCGCTGGGCGCGGAGATGCGTCCGTTGGATCAATAATTAGTCATGGGCTTCTTCGATTAACCGACTGGGCTTCTGCTGTCTTTGGCCATGTTAAGCTGAATTTATATCGGTGAGTCCGTTTAGCACGTAGTATGATCCATTTGGGATCTAATCGATTTATATGTGATTTTTAAGAGAATGTTTGAGGAAGTAGAAATCTATTAACATTAAATGAAGTGTGTATTAAGACAGCCTACTTTAAGATAATCTATCTATAATCTATATTCAGTATTGAAGTAAAGAGTTATAAGTATAATACGACTCTCTAACATGTATTTTTATAAATAAAAAAAGTCTCTCTACTATTTTTTCACATCAAGCACATTGTTATGCCTTAGAAAAATTATCAAACACACTCTTATGTTAAGATTTTCATCCAAAAATTGTCAACCATGGTCCAACTGTGGTGTAGACAACCTGGCCCCGACAAAATGGGAGGGGAAATGTCATTTTTATTCGTCCGTTTATTTCTAATAAGTTTCGTTAAACTGAAATTATTCAGGGTATTGGGCTATACAATAGAAACAAAAATATTAAAGCGAAATTATTAGGGGTATTTTAGACATTTGCGTCGCCCAAACCACGGTTCAATCGTGGTTGATGGTGTTCGGATGGAAGTTTTGACAGAAGGACTTGTTTATTAATAAGTCGAGTCGAGCTCGAACGAGGCTTGTTTTCTAAAATCTTAGCTCGTATTTGGTACATTCATTTTGTATTCATATATAATACATGTGATTGATGTCATGATGGAAAAAATACTAATAATCAAATGTTCAACATTAACTCATCTCATATTATACTTTGTTGGTATCATATTATTTAGTTAATAGATTTAAATCATTCAAAGCAGGCTATTTCATAGCATTGGAGCAATTTTCGGCAAATAATTTCTTGTTAAAATTAAAAACAGACATATTTTCGTACATGCTAAACATGTTAAACTTCATATATGATGAGATATATAATATAACAATCATGCGACTTCTTAGAATCCAATTCCTAAAATATAGATCGATTCTCTCATAAGTCGATGATCTAGTTGGCTCTCTATTAAACTTCATGTATGTATGCTAATACATACATGTGATTGATGTCATGATGGAAAAAAATACTAATAATCAAATGTTCAACATTAACTCATCTCATATTATACTTTGTTGGTATCATACTATTTAGTTAATAGATTTAAATCATTCAAAGCAGGCTATTTCATAGCATTGGAGCAATTTTCGGCAAATAATTTCTTGTTAAAATTAAAAACAGACATATTTTCGTACATGCTAAATATGTTAAACTTCATATATGATGAGATATATAATATAACAATCATGCGACTTCTTAGAATCCAATTCCTAAAATATAGATCGATTCTCTCATAAGTCGATGATCTAGTTGGCTCTCTAGCCACAATCTTGAGACATCTCATGAGCTCTAAACAAGCCAGCTCATGAGTTAAGGTCAACAAGCCACCAAGTCAAGCTAGCTCGTGAAGCTTTAGCTCAAGCTTGACTTGTTATTAAACAAGTCAAGTTCCAAACGAGTTTTTTTCAAGCCAAACGTTGAGTCGCTCGCTAGCACTTTGGCTCATTTGCAGTTGTGCTTAGAGGTAGATGTTCGGCATAAGATTGTAGAGGGGGGTTACTCTATCAACAGAGTACCTCACCAGACTCAGGACTCGGCCAAACTCATATAGGCAGAGGAATCGATGCCTTAGGTGTCGATTTCCTATAATGACGCAGTTTTGAAAGATGTTCTCCCTAGAATCACGTCCCCATGAGTGGCTAGTGTGTTAGTTGTATAAGTTGGTGAACCCTAGAGGTTCTTTTGATCTTGTAAACATTGATTCTTGCTTGGTGTGTGGGTGTGTGGGTGTATGGTCCAGGTGTACGCTAGCCTTTGCCATATATATATGGTCCAGGCTAGCGTATGCCAGGCATACGCTTACCGTACCGTACGCCCATCGAGTTTTGTTATTTAGACCATGAATTAACCGGAGTTTGGAGCATGATACTATACCATAAGCTCTAATGGGTGAACCCTAGCCCCCAATTCTCTAATCCAAACTATAAGATTCATTTAATCTTAAAATGAAAATCAACGGTTCTGATTAGTCAAAATTATCCAAGTACAAATAATAGGTGTCTACGCAGGCGTATATCGTATAGTTTAAGCATTTTCTTCTATCGTCTGATTTCTATGTATGGTTTATTTTTGATTGATTGTGTGCTAAGTTGAAGCTACCATCTCATATTTTGTAGAATTCAAATTATAATGTTGTGTGATGTGACAGGACATGATCGTCCTTGCAATAGATAAGTGCTCGGTTGAATAGTGTGATTCCTCAAGGGTGGAATCCGTAGGGTCCTGGTTGCCTACCAGATATGGCGGTGGCCATGATGCAAGGTAAGAATAAACCTTACATGAATCAAACAACTCATATGTTTCCAGTATCAATCGATGCAGTCAAAAGGAACTCTAGGAGAATCTAATGTAACGCCTTCCCATCTTGTCTTCGTCATCCAAAGTAGTATAGTGAACATGGAAGAGGCATTTACCTCCACTAAAGGATACTTTCATGGTTTTACAACTTATTTCTACTAGGTGAGGTGATATGGATTGGTGGAGTTATCGTTGTTATGGATCGATTTGTATGTTGGGTTATTGTGAATTTAGGAACAATATCACCAATTATGTTGATGGAGTATAGATCTAACTAAGGAAGGCTAGGCAGTGGCAGATACATGTTCTTTAGGAGTGTCTCGGGACACCTCTAAAATTTGGGAAAATGATTATTCAACCCGCGGTAGTAGTTTCGTATGGATAAAGAAAATATAATAGGTAATTCGAGACAACCTTAAAATTTGAAAAAATGATTATCCTACCCTCGATAGTAGTTTGAGTATGATTAACAAAATATAAGTGGTAAACTGTGTTATTCAAACCTAGGACACTACTATTATTAAACATATTCTCCATTAATGTTATATTTTAAACACTATGTAATAGTAAAAATGCTATTCCTTATCCTTTAAATGTTTTCAAAACCTAATAATTACGAAGTCACTTAGCCGAACTAGAAAGAAAGGGAGGCTATGGTTAAGAAAAGCTCAGTTTATGAAATCACTTAGCCGTTAATTAATTAAGTAGTAGTGAAGCGTCAGTACGGAGTTGCGTCAGCTGTAGATATAGACTAGGCTAAGGGACGGACTTCATCTCTTCTATTCTCTTTACTTACACCTTACACTTCCGCTGAGTCTAACGAGGCTCGGGTGCGGAGCCTTCCATTGTGGACCGAGACTACGCAAAGGTTGAACACCATAGAAACTTCGCTGGCTTTATCATAAACCTTGATTTAGCTACGCTCAATAAGAATCCAGAATAGCGGAAATAGGTTCGTGTTCCGCTTCCAAAGTAAGTCGCCTTTGTTCAAGTGTGAACTGCCGACGACTCTCCAGTGATTCAAATCCCTATTTCTTTACTTCTGGGTCAACCCAACCCGAATGGGAAGAAGAGGGTCAGCCAAACAACAGGCTGCTCCATTTTTTACATTTTTTGAGGAATTAGGCATCTAAAAAAAGGGAAGAGAACTTATCGCCGAAGGGGGCAGTAGGAATGAAGGAGGCGGGAAGCTACCGCTTCTAGAATGCAAGCTTATCCTTTACTTTTTTTTAGAGCTTCCCGCTATTGAAATAATAAAAAAAAGGTTTATGGATGAAGTAATCGGAGTGACAAATGGTTACGATTGCGGAAACCGGGAGAAAGTAGGTTACCTTTTGAATCAAAGTAGCGACAAGCCGAGTACTACGACTACAGGGGGTAGGGGCGGATGTAGCCAAGTGGATCAAGACAGTGGATTGTGAATCCACCATGCGCGGGTTCAATCCCCGTCGTTCGCACATCAATAAATGGACCATTGGTTTCGGAGACAGGAGACAAAGCGTCAATGAATTTGATTAGTCATTCCAACCATTGATTGGAATTTATATCATGATAAACCGTGATTTGAGAACTACGGGCTACCCTTAATTTGAATTGATTTTATGGCTACATGGTAAGTGTTGATAGAGTCTTTTCAACTTTGAGTTACATCAAGAACAAGGTTAGAAATCGAATATGTGATCACTTCGTGAATCATTGTCTAATAAGATATACAGATTTGTTGAGCAGTGTAGACACCAAATTTGTTATATATTTATTTTTTCAAAATATGAAAACACGTTGTAATCTTTAGTTAAAATTTATACTAATCGGATATTTTTTGACTTATGAATTATTTAATTTTTAATTTGATTTAATTTAATTTTTGGAAAAAAACACCCTACAAAAATTTTCTGGATCTACCAGCGAGGCTAGGTGAATACGGAATAGGTGATGCCTTTCATGGGGCGAGCAGCTGCTTACGTGGATTATTAAAGTACCTTCTTATTGGTTATTAGTAGCTTCTCGATGAAACAAGGAGAGTTACTATTCGTCGCCCTAAATTTTTAAATTTTGTCGCCCTAAACCATACAAATTTACAAAACAACCCTTCATTTAATTTTATGGTTCAACCAATTAGAATTAATGCTCCAACCATCTAACCCAACCCATTTAACTCTTTCTTCCAACACAAAACAGAAATATCAAACCAAAACTTAAAACCAAACCACACAACACAAAATCCAACTACAATCTTCTACATTGATAAATTTTAGCCGGATTCCGGCGAGTTTGTCGGAGGTAGAGAAGTAGTCGGTCTCGATCGTCATAGCATGCAGGGACTCGGACTAAAGGTAAGATTTCGTTTGCAATTTTTTTTTCTTCTGGAAAACAAGTCGAGCATGTTGAAAATCTGCCTCGACCGGTGGTCAAGCATGTTGAAACCCTGCATCAGCCATGGAAAGGACGGGTTGTCCACCTGCCCGTTCCATCCTCCAGGAATGCTCGCAACATGCTCGTCCTCCTGTCTAAGCATGTTTTCAACATGCTCGACCCACGGTTCTTTCTTGTTTTTAACATGCCCGTCCCTCGGTCTGGTCTAGTTTTGAACATGCTCGAGTTAACTTTGTGATGTCATAGACCTTTTTTAATGAAAATTCACATAAATTATGATATTTATGTTCATTAGTTTCATTGTTAATTGTGTTTATTAGGAAGGAGGATAAAAATCTTGTGTCACCATCATTTACTAACAAGGAAACTATTATGGATGATTCGGTAAGTAGTTATTTTTTAAATTTTAATTATCGTAACATAATTGTTGCACAACTAAATGTTTTTACCTTGTATTTCTTGTAGGGTGGATCCGGAGTTAATGAGGGTGACAATGTTGATTGCACATCATTGTTTCTAAGTGATATTTATGATACCCATGATCAAGCTTGTAAAGCGGCAAAGGAGATTGCCATGAGTAATAGTTTTTCCTTGATAGTGGCATCAGTCAAGAGAAACGTTGGAGAAGGCAATCCGCGGATCTATATGGATTGCAACCATGGTAGTAGGAGCAACTCATATACGTCTGATCCCGCAAAGACAACACGGAACAAATCTACAACAGGCAAGTTAGGTTGTCGTTTCCGAGTGGTGGTGCAATCGTAAAAATAGATGGCAAGTGTAAGTGGAGAATTCATGGGATTAAGTCGAGGGGATTTCACAGTCACAGATTGGAGGTTTACTCTGAGGAAAGCAGGCAAAAGAATGCTCTTTCGCAGGTGGAAAAAATGAATATTAAGGAGTTGGAGGCAACACATACTCAGGCGAAAGATATCAGAAGTTTGCTCAATATGAAGTACGATGCTCATCACAACATGACTCATATTTATAATGAGACAACAAAAATTAGGCGTGAGAGATTGGGTGGGTTGAAACCTATGCGGTGGACATTGATAGAAGCTCAACGTCTTGGCTACTTTATTGAGTGTGAATTTGATGATCAACGTCGTGTTACTAGACTCTTCCTATGCCATCCTGAGTCGATTCGGATGTTGTTGGCATGGTATTTTGTTGTTTTGATAGACTCGACGTACAAGACTAACAAGTATAAGCAGCCACTGGTTCACTTGAGAGGTGAGTGGTTGCCATGCAGGGAAAGGTGGGCAAATTGCTACACCAATCGCATCTTCCATATCGGTAACACGAGCACAAATAGGGTAGAGTCGATGCATTCCTCCTTAAAGAAATGGCTTGCCACTTCGACCCACAAGATCGATACACTCTTCCTCAGGTTTCACACATCCGTCAACGGAAGAGTGATTGAATTGAGGAAGGACTTGGAGGATTCACTTTCCAAGGTATTCTCGTTTTTGCTTATTTACGAAGTCTATATGACTCCTCCTGATGTTTTTTCCGCTCAGATACTGTAACGTTGCGTCCGATAACCCTCGATTTTTCCTTGCCCCTTCTTTCGCTCATTGTTGCCTGCTATCAAGAAAATAAAATTATTTATTTTCAGAATTGTAATTGACAACCATACATCTTTTAACTATAAATAATAATTATTTACAACCATAAAATTTATGAATTCCAATACTAATTATATTGTCAAATACTAATTATATTAATCATCACAATTCATATACTAATTCTTACCCTTTCTTTCGCTTATTTTTACCAACTATCAAGAAAATAAAATTAATTCTTCTAGTATTGCAATTAACAATCCTATATTCATTAACTATTTATAATCATTATTAACAATCAACAACTTTTTCAATTCAAACACTACTTATATTGTCAAATGCTAATTAACATCCTCTCATCACACAGCAACCGCAACAAAATCCAAGATTCTTTTCTTCCTTCCCATTATAAATGTCATATGCTGATTATAATTAACTATGCAAATTTATATATTATTAATTAAAATGAACATTCTAATCATTAACATTTGCATTAACATTTGAAAAAAAAAATCAAAACAGGTCGGGAAACGGGTCGGACCAGGGTCCGGGCGGGTCAGAGACCGGATCGGACCAGGGTCGGGGCGGGTCAGAGGCAGGTGGGCTTCCTGGCTCTGCCGGATCCGCGCGGGTGCCATGCCTGCGTCTACCCAGGCCCTAATCGGACGCCCTACCTGCCTCTAGCCACTGGCGACGGGTTTTCAACCCGCGACGTCGGCGCAACTCAAGAACTGAACTTCTCCTCAAGAAATATCCAAGAGAGGGAGAGGGAGAGGGAGAGATTTACCTTCGGCGGGTCTGAGCAGAAGCAGAGGGCTAGGGGCGGGCGATGATTTGGAGGCTTCTCCTTCCTCCTCGGCGACAGTGCGGCGGATCTGGGCTTGGGCGAAGATGCTGGCGGCGACGGATCTGGGTGGTGGCGACGGGTCTTAGTGGTGGAGGCGAGTCTGGGCGAGGGTCTGGTTGACGGCGGCGATGAGTCTGGGTGAGGGTGATGCTGGCGGCGACGGGTCTGGATGGCGGCAGCTTAGGGTGGCGGAGGGTGAAGCGCTGCTGGGTGAGGGCGATGCTGGCGGCGGGTGGCGGAGGGTGAAGCGCTGCTGGGTGAGGGCGATGCTGGCGGCGGGTGGCGGAGGTTTTTTCTTCTGGGTGAGGGCGATGCTGAGATTTTGAGTATTTGGGGAGGGAGAACAGGGTAAGTGACAGCAGGGTGAATCAATTTAGGGTTTAGGTTAAATGAGGGGTAAACTCGTCCATGTATGTAAGTTTAGGGCGATAAATTCAAAAACTTAGGGCGGCGAATAAGAATTCAGTGAAACAAGTGCTCCATCAAATGCTAGCTGAAATAGCTGTCATCATGCACCCGAAGTTACGGCGTAAGCTCATTTCCTCTTGTTTTAGTCAATTCATTGTGGATTTTTCCGTTAGTTCTAATTGTTTTCAGACTTAGGAGACCAATCTGTTGTTAACGAGTCAGGATTATAACGAGTAGTACTGATTTGTCAAAAATGTTTAGTTTTGGGCGTCGTTTGTAATTAGTCCGTCATTATAAATTGGGAATTGTGCGACGACATCAAATAACCGAAACAGATTTCCTCTTCTTCTTTCCCCTTCCTCTTATTCTCTTCTTTCTTCCTCTTCTTGTCCTTCTTTCCTTCCTCTCAATTCCTCCACTCCTAATATCAATCACTCATTGGAACTGTTCAATCGCCGAGGATTGATTCAGGTCAAGCCGGCTGTTACATCGACAATACCCCAATTATTGTATTCTCCTCAAAGCTCTCAGAACAGGCTAGGAGAAAATTTGAGCTCCAGTTTTCGTATTCATGGGGAGTTGTTCGTTGTTTGATCTGGAGCGGCACTTCGCGTTCTATGGAGCTTATCACAGCAACCCAACGAATATTTTGATTCACATGATATTCGTCTGGCCGATTCTCTTCACTGCCCAATTGATTCTCTACTTCACGCCTTCTTTACCGCCCAAGTTTGAGTTCTCCATCTTGGGGATCGATGCCCTTCTAGTTCTCAATGTTGGGTTGTTGTTTACAGTGATATATGGTGTTTTCTACATCTGTCTGGATAAGAAAGCTGGCTCCTTGGCTACTCTGCTCTTGCTCTTCTGCTGGGTGGCCAGCAGTTTCTTGGGTTCCTGGCTTGGATTCTCCCTTGCTTGGAAGGTGAGAAAAAAAGGAACATGAATTTTTTTATATATTGATTTCTCGCCTATGTTCACTATAGTTCCTCTGGTGTTTCTGAAATTCTTATACTGGAGTTTGTACTTTGTTTTGATTTTGAGCATGTACTTAGAAACAAAGATGCTGTCATTTTGGCTTTTCTTCTGATAAAAGTACCGCCACCTAACCTGCGATGATAAGGATTTTGGAGCTTTGCTTTTGACTTTGTAATTGTTTCTACTGCTTCAATACTGTTTAGACTCTGTTCAAAGAATTTGTGAGCCTTGCCATCGATCCAAAACTCATTGATTATCGAGCTGAGAATCTATTTTTCCTTGTGTGACATGCTTGAAATTGAGATCAAGAGATGTATTTATCACACTGAAAAGAACTAGATTGATTTGTTGGATCAAGAGAAGTCTTACTAGCATACCAGTTCGGTTGATTGCAAGTTTTTGTCTTCAAGTTGGGGAGATCTAATTCTTTTGCTGAGAGCTCCATTTATGTACTGTTTCAGGTTGTTGTGGTTGCCCAGATAGTATGCTGGACTGGGCAGTTCATTGGGCATGGTGTCTTTGAGGTATAGTAATATTCAGAGCTTGAGAATTCAGTGATGTCTTATTGATTTTATTTGTGTGATTTAAGTGTGGATTTCATTTTCTGCAGAAACGAGCACCAGCTCTTTTGGACAATCTTGTTCAAGCATTTCTAATGGCTCCCTTCTTTGTGTTGTTGGAGGTCATAATTTGTTTTTTTCATCTCATTCATTCCTTGTACTGGTTTTCGGCAATTTTATTCTGACACGATTGACTGTATTTTGCTCTTCGCTTTCTCAGGCTCTTCAGACCTTCGCTTATGAACCGTACCCGGGATTTCATGCAACTGTTCAAGCTAAGGTTGATACTCAGATCCGTGAGTGGCAAGAGAAGAAGCAGAAGTAATTAAGAGTAAACCATGATGTCCTTCCACCTATCTTAATCCATTACATGCATGAATATTAGACTCATTAACGGGGCTTTGTTCTTGAAATGTTGGAAGCTATCTGTACAAAGCTTTCGTTTGTGTTGAATCATGAAAATTATATTGGAAATGAAGTGTCGAGTTCTTCATTTATTCGTCATTTATGGTGCATGATCCCTTTTTGATGGACTGTGGAAGATTGCTGTTTGATCTCTGGTGATTCATTGCGGTGCAATTCAGAACATTGTTGTTCTTAGTTCGGCTTAGCTTAGAACTCTGAATTTCTAGAGGTTATTCAATGGGGAAAAGGTACAGTGACCATTTCATTCTTTGCATGAATATACTTTGTATGTCGCTTATAAGCATCTGACTGCTTTCAGCTTCAAGCCATGTGCCATCGACAGAATGGTCATCATTCGATATTGAACTGGGTGATTTGGCACCAAACTGAACTTGAAGAACCTGCACAAAATGGCTAGTGCCATCTTCATTTGGAGATATGCAGAGTCTTTACCAAGGCAGATTCTTGGTCCAGCCTATGAACACACCAGCAGGCCGAGAGCTCCCTTTAGTTCCAACAATAAAAAAATTCGGTTTAGTAGCAAAGTGGTTGAGGAAAAGACTTACTTGAAATGCTGTGAACTTGAAAGGAGACGAGTTCTGGAACAACCCATCTTTCAGCCATCTCTCTGGCTTGAACAAAGCTGCATCATATCCCCAGTTGTACTCCATCCTTCCCATGGAATAAGGCACATAAGTCACCATGCCTCCGGCTTTCACTTTAGTACCATCTGGCAACACATCATCCTCTAGGATCCCTTTTGGGTCCTGAGGGACTGCGGGGTAAAGCCGAAGTGTCTCTGTAATCACTGCATGGAGGTAATGCAGTTTCCCTAATGAATCATAGTTCAAAAGCCCTGCATACTGCTTCACACGCTTGTTAAACAATTCAATGTCATCCACATCATCACATTCAACGAATGTTGCATTCTCTTCCTTTGCTCTCTCATTCTCAAATGCCTTGAGTTCCATGTAGAGCTTCTCGGCTACATGGCTATGTGTCATTATCATGTACACAGCCCATGAGAGAGTTGTGGCTGTCGTGTCTCGACCGGCTATCACAAAGTTGAGAACAACATCTCTTAGGCTTTTGTCTGTCATTTTGCTCTCTGGGTCTTCGCCTAGCTCTATGAACCTCGATAATATGTCGTGTTTCATCTGTCGCATGGGAAAGCAAAGCCATTAGTGGTCTTTTGTGAATATCTTGGGGTATTTTTCATTCTCTTTTTATGAATAACTTACTACCTTGTTATCTTTATCAGTTGCTTGAGCTTCCTCAAGTTCTGCTTTCCTTCTTCTGATTACAGAATACGTGAAATCATTGATTATCTTTATGCTCTTGTCGAGTAGAGCTTCCGAGCCTGCATTGAACAGCTTCTTTATCCTCCACAATGGATCGATGAACCGAAGCGTTACGATGATGTTTGCAGTATCGAAAGCCTGCGCAAACTGGTTTTCCGGCAGGTCGGGTGCCAGAGTTCCTATCTCGACTCCAAACCCAACTTTGCATATTGAATCCAGTGTCATCCTCATCAAAAGTTCCTGTGAAAGAAATTACAGGCCAGATAATTACAGGCTCGTGAACGCATCAGACAGACTGGAGTCATGTATTGAACATTATACCTGCATATCTACTACTTGATTGTGGGAAGAAGTCTCAGTGAGGATAGCAGAGAGTTTGAGGCTGTACTCTCTGAAGACAACTGTGCTGAAATCCCTCAAGTTCTTGGAAGCAAACTCAAAGCTAGCTGTCTTCCTTTGTTTCCTCCAGAGCTCTCCATCGACGTTGAATATCCCATCTCCAAGCAGAACTTCCATGTATGAATGGTACGTCTCTCCCTAGTTTTTACAGTGGTATCAACGGTAAGTACCTGCAAAAATGATTGCTGCAGAAGAAATGTGAAAAGTTGGTCATTCTTTTCTGTTTTACCTTTGGATAGTTAGCAAAGTTGGTCTTGAGAACATGCTCAACACTTGCAGGGTCAGCTATGTAAGTGTATGTTGTGGATGGCATTGGAACCACGACAGTCTGACATTCGGACAAGTAATTGACAAGCCAGTCGTGCATCCTGTCGAAGTTCATCAGCTGCTCAATGGCTGCTCCAAAGATCGGCCATGTCTTTGGACCTTTCTTGTTCCTCTGGTTCCATCTGTGCACGAAAACCCACGAGACAAAGAGACAAGCTACGATGAGGAACATGGATACAAGACCCTTTTCATCTTCCATTGGATGATACTTGAATTGGTAAACAGAGATCAGTGATATGCAAGGTTGATTAAGATGAATGCAACAACAAATGTAAAGCTTGAAATCCGAACCAGTTTGATATAAAATTAGTTTTGACATGCTTGGGCAAGTTGGTGAAAGGGGAAAGATTAGTTGGTTGAAATTCACTCTTTGCATGATCTTGCAACACTAGCTGTCCCGCTTGACTAGCAGAGGAGAAGTAGATCGATAGTAGAAACGTGCTCAGGAAAAGATGGCAACTTCAATGAAGAAAACAAGCTGTATGATTTCTTTTTGTTTTGTTTTTTCATGTCAAATAAAAAAGTTATGTGTTGTGGCTCTAAAAAATTCAAATTTACAATAATGCCGCTCATTTATATTCTTCTTGCCCAAATTTCAATGTAAAACAACTCTAGTTTTTCTCAAACACCCTCTACAAAACACACCTATGGTCGCCACCATCTTTGGTAGGGTTGGAAGTTTGGTATCGGTATTTAAGATATACCAATACCGTACCGAATTTATCACTATTTGGCATCACCGAATACCGATTTATTTTTTAAGGATTGTGATTGGAATTCATTTTCGAGTGTTATTCGGTATCCGAGATTACATGATTAAAATCAGTATATACCAAAATACTGATAAGTGATAAAAATTGAAAATTAAAAACTAATGAAATATAGCACACAACTGCTGGTCATTCCTCATTCTTTGACAACTCACAAGCTATCATCCAGCCAAATTTTGGTTTTCCAGTTTAAGTCACTCGTCTCTTGCTCAATCTCGTCTTATTTTTCGTAAAACAAAAAAACATATAGAACTCTCATTAGTCGTCTCTCGCCCTCCAACATGTCGAATTAAAGATTACAAAATGATAAGATATTGAGATGTCACTATCTTTACGCTTCTCCTTATCCATGTCCTAGGCTACTAGCTCTATGCGAACTCAAGACATTTTGCCTAATATCTTTGCCCTAAATTAGATTACATACTCTAATTTATATATGTAATTATTAAATACAAATACCAATTGGGATATCGAAAATACGGATTAGGATACTGAAATATTTAGTGATTGGGATTGAGATACCGAGTTTATTTAGGGATTGTGATTCATATTAATTTTGTCGTGTAATTCGATATTCGTGATTTCGATATTTGGTTATCGGAATACCTTTGGGCACCATCGTTGTAAGGCACCGATTTCGATCACCCGCACGCCCACACCACGAATTTGGGGTGGAAATCGGTATGGTATCGGTATCCCAATACCAAATACCGAATTACACCATAAAATCAATCTCAATCCCTAAATAATTTCGGTATCTCAATCCCAATCACAGTCTCTAAAGATTTCGGTATCCCAATTGGTACTTCGGTATCCCAATGGCAATCGACATTATCAAATACGAAATTAATTACCTTTGCAATTAATAATTAAATATATAAATTAGATTTGATTGTTTAATTTAGGGCAAAGAGACCAAGCAAAAGTCTTGAGTTTGCCTAAAGCTAGGATATGGATGAGGAGAATGGAAGAGAGGTGACATCTCAAATTCTTGTTGTTGAAAGATACTTACTGCTAATGCTTTATTGTAGTTAGCGGTAACAGCTAGCCCTAGTCTAATTGTAGAAAGATTAGATAATAGAATATATTTCAGTTAAGGTAGGTCTCACCTAACCTAGCTTATATATTCTCTCACTCTGTAAATCATGAGATATACGAGAAGCAGAATTCTCTAAAACCCTACTTTGTTCTTGTTCTCTCCTAAACTTTGATATGGTATCAGAGCTGCCGGCAGTAACCTCGTTCTGTCATGAGCACAGACGAAGATTCACCCGGTTCTTCTTCTTCCTCTCCTACTATCCAATCTACCAACTCCAAAATAGAGAGTATGGCCACATCAAACAATGATTCAGGCACAGAATCAAGCTCTGGAGGAATCACCATCAGAAAATCCAATGGGAAGAATTACCTCCAGTGGTCTCAATCTGTCCTGATGTTCATCACTGGGAAGCAAAAGGGGGAATATCTGACTGGTACTTCAACTTGATTTGTATGAAGCTCAGAAATGGGAAACGACGGCTGATGCAAAAACGTTTTGGATGTTTGTGGAAAAGAAGCGAACAATTGAGTTCCTCCTTGGCCTCAACCCAAATCTGGATGCAGCTAAAAGCAGGATCATGGGAACAAAGTCTTTCCCGAGTTTGAAGGAAGCGTTTGCTGAAGTGTTGAGGGAGGAAGGTCGTCGCCATCTTATGCTTGCAGAGTCAAAGTCCACCTCAGATAACTCGAGCTCTGCCCTAACAACAGAAACAACCACAACACTTGTTTCTCAGAATAACCGGGGAAAGGGAAAACCGAGAACCAACTCGGATGCGGCAACAATTGAATTATAATTTCATTTTAATAAGGGGTAATTAGGTCATTTTCCACCCCAGTTAACGACCACTTCAAAGAATTTTTAACAAAATGATATTTTTGTTACTTTATTATATTAGAAGGATACGTTTGTGAAAAAATATAATACAAGAACACGTTTGTTAATTTACAAGAGCGACACAAAATGGTATTAACCTAGATGGTAGCAATTAGCATCCTATCTCATAACTAGAGAAAGAAACCCAATTTGTGGGGTCTTAAAATCTCTCGAGCCCAAAGTACTTGAAATAAACTCTCTCTAGTCTCTCCTCTTCCTCTTCATCTGTTAGGGTTTCTCTCACCGATGGTCTTCATCCGCTTCTTCTGATCCTTCTGCACTTCTGTTTATATTGTCTTCTTCGTGTTCCTGTTTCGGGGAAAAACTAGCACGATTCAGAATCGGAGTAAGAAAGCTTTCTTATTTCTGCCCCTAGAATTTGTGGTGGGGTGAAGAATTTGATCGACGGGCTTATGCAATTGCAGGTTTAATCGGCTTCAAGTTGATAGCCGAGGCATGTATTCAAGAGGCAGTGGGTATGGGCAGCAAGCTTATGGTGGGCAGTCGAGCTACGCACAAAGTGTAAGCTTCTTAGGTCAATCGACTTGTTTGTGAACGTTAAGTTTGCGTCTTTTCTTTTAAAACTTGGAACTTGAGATTCCTTGTATTTGTATACGATGTGATTTCATTAGTTTTCCTGGCTTCCCTTTTGGTCTGCCATGTTAATCCTGTAATTGGATCAATTAGTTGCAGTCTATTCAACCTCTTAGGCGTGACATTGTGTTTTTGCTCCAACCGGTGATTTTGCTGGTTTATGGTAATTGTTGGTGCTTTTGTGCATAATTCAATTACTTAAGATAGCTGAAGTGCTTATTGAAGATTCTGTGTTCTATAGTGCACGTACGTGCGATTTCCAGTTGAAGTCAGTTGGCTATTTCTACTGTTTTGGTTAATAGGATGTTCTTTTGAGCGAAGCTAAGATTGAAAATATCGTTTATTTGTCTGTTGATTGCTGTTTGCAGTTAGGAAACAACTACTCTGGTAGCTCTGTTGCAGGAGCTGATTCAACTTCTCAACATTCCTTGGCTTCTAGACATCCCTCACTGCTGAGTGGTTCTCAAGAAGCAGATCTCGGTGGGTACAAAAGCTCAGTTTCAGGGTATGGGGGGCAATATGCAGGTGTCTATGGTTCAAATGGTGTTAGCGCTACCCAACCGGTAAGTTGGGCTCTTTTCGTGTTGATTATTTTCGTCCATTCGTAATAGAATCTCCTGAGGAAGCAATCATAAAGTTTCATTTTGTACTGTATGATTGATCATGTTAATTTAGAGAGTAGTGCATGGTTGATCCACTGAATTGTGTTCATTTTGCATTCAAGGCATACACTTATCAGTGGGGTGAATCCAACGATTGTAGTATTGATGACAAGGTTAAAAGATTGGATTGTCATGATTTTGGCTGAATGGTATCAGAATTTTGGTGGAACATGATTTCTCAACCCAATTTACCTTTTGAACCTTGGTCTGTTTTTTCTTGTTTTTTCCCTACGCGATGAGAGTATGTATCACAACTTTTTGCAATGTTTTTTCTAGTTCGCCTGCATTCATTTATTTGCTTGGAAAATGGGCGTTGAGCATTAGTGTTCGTTATGCAGGTGACCTCAGTGAGTAGCAAGGGGAGTGGGCCATCGGCTTTGGAAGGTCGTGGTGGCTATTCACCTAAATTTGCAGCTGGCGAATATGTTCCCTCGTCAAACCATGTGTATGGTCACAAAACTGAGCAATTATATGCAGACAAGCTCAGTGATTACACTGGAATAGACCGAAGACAATATGGTGAACGACATAGTTCATATATTGCTAGGGACTTGCAAACTGATCCAGCTTCCCGATATGCAGATTCTGTTGGCTTTGGTCATCAGGTTTGTGTTTGCGTTAAAATTTCTCATTGTTTTTGCTTTGCGTCTTTGGCTTTCCTCATTCATGTTCCTTCGGTTGCTGTGGGGCAAGAGTTTTTGATGTTTGTTTGTGCACCAAATATTTTTCTAAACACTCTTCCTTATTCCACGGTAATGACGTTTTCTGCTGGCTCTATTTTAGCAGACTGAGAGATATGACCGTGGGGATCAGTCATCAATTCTCCGGCAAGAACAACTGTTAAAGCCACAGTCAATGCATTCTTCGTCGCTTGATGGGGGTGCCAGGTAGTTTAATTTATTCACTGTATTTTAAAGGTTCATACTTAGCCTACTACCTGTTTTAGAGCTAATGTTGTTGGTGGTTTACTTCTTGTATCCCTTAATTAATGACCAGGCAAGGTCATTCGTTGCGTTTTTAATACCAGTAGACTATTGCTTATTGTCATAGTCTGTGCACAGCTAAGCTAACTGCTGCATACTTGCAAATTGCGCTGTTGGCACCATGGCAGACCAATCGATTACCTTGCAGCGAGAGGTGCTTCTGCTAGCCGTCATCTGAACCAGGATCTCGTTGTGTCTTATGGAGGAGGAAGAGTGGACGCTGATCCTCGAGGCTCCTCAATTCTTAATAATGCTTCTTATAGTGGACAGCAACATGCTTCGTCCATTCTAGGGGCAGCTCCACGAAGAAGCGTTGATGATCTTTTGTATTCTCAAAGTTTGTCGAACCCAGGCTATGGTGTTAGCCTCCCTCCTGGTAGAGATTATGGTTCAGGAAAAGGGCTGCTGCATGGAGCATCACTTGAGCCAGAGTATCGCCCTCTTCATCCAAGGCTCGACGATCGAAGGGATGAAAGAGCTGGTTATCTTCGGGAGTTCGAGCTGCGAGAGGAGGAACGCCGTCGAGATTTCTTGCGCGAGAGGGAAAAAGAAAGGGAGAAGGAACGAGAGCGGGAAAGAGAGAGGGAAAGGGAGCGTGAACGTGAAAGAGAACGGGAAAGAGAACGGAGGCGCGATAGGGAGCGGATGTTGGAGCGACGGGAGAAGGAAAGGGAGCGGAAGCGTGTAAT